CACCTGTAGTCCTAGCTACTAGGGAGGCTGTGGCAAGAGAATCACTTGAGCCCAAGAGTTTGAGATTGCTGTGAACTATGATGCCATAGCACGCTACTGAGGGTGACAAAGTGAGATTTGTCCCATTAAAACAAACAAATAAATATACAGAAATCTCTACCCACAACCCAAAATGAAACTACCCCCTCCTCATGGGCTCCAGGCCTCACTCCTCTCATCTCACACCGGATGAGAAGATGGTAGAGGCCTCCAAGAACTAGGACAGGGTCTGGCTCCAAGCAGACATTCATTAAGTTCATGAACTGGAGCTTTCCCCACGACTCCCTGAGGGAGAAGGTGCTCTCTGAGGTCACAGTGAATGCAGAGTCCCTTTAGGGGCACAGGGGAGAACTTATCACCCACTATATGCACCTTACCCTAACCCATGGCTCCTCCCAGCTGGTGGGGCCAGGGCGTGAGTGGAAATTCATCCATGTGGAGGGGATTCTGGGATAGGGCCATGAGGGTCAGGTAGCCTTGGACATACAGAGTGCCCAACACTCCTCTACAAGGTCATGTCCCCTTGCACTTCCACCCATGCGCACATGCTACTTGCTGTCTTAGAACTCCTTTTCCCAACCCAAGGCTGTGCCCCTTCCCTCCTGGAGTGTTCCGATCCTGCTGGAATGTCACCCACCCTCCCACAATGAAGACAGACTTGTTTGTTGCTTCAGCTTCTAGTACTTAGTGCATTCAAGTCCTATAGATCTTTTTTCCTAAATACCCACAACTGATCTCCTTTCCATCTGCACCGTCCCTGCCTGGTTCAGACCCTCAGACCTCAGACTTCAGCCTCTCTTGCCTGGACCTTTGCCAGGCTGAGGTTGCCTTCCAGATCACACTCTGCTGTGACCCCATACATGTCAATTCTGCCTCCTGCAAAAACCTCCCCCGGTTCCCCTCACCTGGGCAGGCATTCCTGCAAATCCTGGTCATCTGCTCTTCCACTCCTCCATGCCTCTGCTCAAACTCATCCCTCTGCCTGGAGTGCCCTTCCCACCCTGTCTACCTAGTAACCCCCTAATTTTCTTTACGAAGCTATTCCAGCGCCGCCGCCTCTGTGAAGCCTTCCCTGACCAGAACACCTCCCTTCCATTTCTCTAGGATCATTCATTTATTCAACAAGTAGTTACAGGGAGTAACAGTATAACTGTCCTTACACTGTTAAGGACAGTGCATAGGACGGATAAGGACCTGCCATTGGGGAGCACATAATCATCACATAAACCCACACTAAATTTCAGAGTAAGGAAGGCAAAGGGGGAAAGAGTGATAAGATGGGCTAGGTGGTGGCTCACACCTGTAATCCTAGCACTCTGGGTAGATTGCCTGAGGTCAGGAGTTTGAGAACAGCCTGAACAAGAGTGAGGCTTCTACTTAAAATAGAAAAACCAGCCGGGCATTGTGGTGGGTACCTGTAGTCCCAGCCACTTTGGAGGCTGAGACAAGAGGATTGCTCAAGCCCAGGAGTCTGAGGTTGAAGTGAGCTATGATGCCAGGGCACTCTACCCAGGGTGACAGAGTGAGACTCTGTCTCAAAAAAAAAAAGGGCCATGGAGGCCCAGCTGAGGGGGATGGCACTTACACCAAGACCTAAAGGAGGTCCTCTCCTTCTGTGTTCCTGAGCCCTGTGCATTCTCTGTGGGCTGTCCCAGGCAGGCTTGCCAGACTCAATAGACAAAAATATTGCATGGGGCGTACACTTACACTAAGAAAGTGCTCTTTGTTTATCTGATATTCAAGTTTAACTGGGTGTCCTGTGTTGTTTCAGGCAACCTGGCCTCTAGGATCTCAGTGCCCGCACCTGTTCCAACAGTCTGCATCAGGTATTTGCGGGCCGGCCCCCTGCTGCAAGGTAAGCCCCTCCGCAGTGAGGACAGTGTTAGCTGCCCTGCTTTGTGCCGAGGCCTGGCTAGAGGCAGCCCAGTGGTGGTTTGGGGAGGATGGAGCTGTCTCCTCCAGGCTCCCCTACCACCTAAGTAATAATGAAATAAGAACAAACATTTTTAAACATAGCAAACATATGTAATAGCGTGGAAAACCAACATTTTCTCAATCTTATGTACATAAATAAAAGCATCTTTGGAAAACGTTGCTATATTTATAGTCTGCAGTGTACAATCTAAGAAAAAACGGCTTCTATCTAGTTCCTCGGCTGCCCCCTACCAACCAGATGGGCTCTCCTAAACCCTTCCTCTATTGAAACAGTGGAGTTGGCACAGATAGCGGACCAGTGGGTGTCTGTTACATAAGCGAGTGGCATGAAAAGATTGTATTGTGATTCTGGGTTTACATGTCTATCTCCCCACTGGACTGGGCTCCTCCACAGGCCAGCATGGTGACCTGTATTGTCCCCAGGCCCAGCACGTGGCAGCAGCTTAGGAAAGGCGGGTTGAAAGTCTCATCAAGAGCCACAGTTCATACCTGACATGAAAGTTTCCATCTCAGTGTGTGTCCCACAAGCAAAGGCCACTTCTAAAGCAGACCTCATATTACCTTCTGGAGGTCCAGGGTTCCCTCAAGGTGGGCCCTAAGCTACAGACTGACAAGCAGTAGCCCGGAAAGGGTGTGGCCTAACTGCCCAGCGAGTCCTGTGAATAAGCCCAGTCTTCACTCACAGTTCATAAAAGGACCACTGTCTCAGGGCAGCCTCAGCCCCTGTTGGTTTCAACTCAGATGGAGAATGTTGTTGCTTGAGCCTCTTTTGAGCTTTAAAAAGTACAAGGAAAGGCATTGTATGAAATGTTTTACTTTTGACTGTTTTTTTTTCATTGCTACAAACTGCTGCATGTTGAAAAGCTTGCATTTACTTGTGAATTGCCAGTCTGTATTTGTGTATGGAGGAAGGTAAAGACTTGAAGGGTCAAAATTACTTTTACTTTCCTTGTAAGTTTCTTCAGTACTTAGCTTTTGACTGAGCATTTTACATTTATTTCTGGGTCATTATGTCATTCTCCAGTACTTTTTATAACCTGTGCTACTGAAAGCTGCCTTCCTCCACATTATGTGCCAGAGTCAGGTGGGACAGGACAGTCACACAGCACCCACTAGAAGAAAGACAGTGTCTGATGTACCCACAGAACATGATCCTGACTGAGCATACCCATTTAGCCATGAGAACGAGCATGGACATATTGTATACAATAGTGTCAAAGACTAATTCAAAGACACAAAGTTAATTATTAGCTCACTCTTTACTTGTATACAAAGAAAATCAATAAGAGATTTATTTCATATATCAGAGGGAAAATTAGGAGTAAATTACAAAAAATAGGAACAAGGAGAAAATGAAAAACTGTAGAGGAGTTTAAAATTATGAACACTGCCTTTTCTTGGTAAGCAGCTGATTAGCAGGCAGCTAGCTAAGAAGGCCATTAGGGTGTTCTGCCTTTGACAGCTGGATGGGTCATCAAAGAGGATAATTCCAGTTGCTTATGGATTCTCCAGAAGCCCATGGAGTGTAGCAGTGCTGTATACGTGATAAGCTGCCTCTTGGTTATGTCTGTCTGGGTCCTGGGAGAACATCTTCATCTCCGTTGTGCAGGTCTACCTGTGTGACCTTTAAAAAAAATAGCAAACAAATGCAAACAGCCTAAATGTCTAACAAAAGGAACTGGCTAAATAAATTTCAGTATCTCCTGAAAGCATAAGATCTTTTAAGATACAGTAATTTAAGATAATGTTATAATGAAAGAATATGTAATTATGTGGGAGGTTATTCATGATATATCATTAAGTTATGAGTTTGTGGAGGACATAAACATTCAGTCCATAGCATTTAATTTGTAATAGCCGGGGGTCTCCAGAGAAACAGAACCAATAGGACCTATCTATATGCCCATCTATCTATCTGCCTATCTATCATCTGTCTACTTGTATATATAGATTCATTATGCAAATATGGAGGCTGAGAAGTCTTACAATCTGCCACCTGCAAACTGAAGACTTAGGAAGGCTGGTGGTATAGGTGAATGACCTGACAGCCAGAGAGCCGAGGGTATACATTCCAGTCCTAAGAACCAGGAACACCAAGAGAAGGAGAAGATCAACATCTCAGCTAAAGCAGTAAGGAAGAGAGCAGACGTAACCTTCCTCAACATGTTTGTTCTATTCACACCTCCCATCTCTATATGCTTTATAGGCATGAGGCCCATCCCTATATGCTGTATTCCTCCTACCAGTTCACATGCTAATCTCTTCCAGAAACACCCTCGCAGGATCTGGTGCCCGTTGCCCAGTGATTAGGGTGCCGGCCACATGTTCCAGAGCTGGTGGGTTAGATCGAGGCCCGGGCCTGCTAAACAACAACAAAATAGCTGGGCATTATGGCAGGCACCTGTAGTCCCAGCTACTCCAGAGGCTGAGGCAAGAGAATCACTTAAGCCCTGGCAAGGTGCCCATGGCACAGTGGTTACGGCACCAGCCACATATACTGAGGGTGGCCGGTTTGAACCAGGGCCAGCTAAGCAACAATGACAACTGCAACAGAAAAATAGCCGGGCATTTTGGCAGGCACCTGTAGTTTCAGCTACTTGGGAGGCTGAGGCAAGAGAATCGCCTAAGACCAGGAGTTGGAGGTTGCTGTGAGCTGTGATGCCATAGCACTCTACCCAGGGTGACATAGCGACACTTGTCTCAAAAAAAAAAAAAAAAAGAATCGCTTGAGCCCAAGAGTCTGAAGTTTCTGTGAGCTATGATGGCATAGCACTCTACTGAGAGTGACAAAGTGAGACTCAATATATTTGCCTCAATAAAAAGACCAAAAAAATCCCCAAACAAAAACCAGCAGAAACACCTTCACAGATATACCCAATAACAGCATTTAACCAGACATCTGGGAATCCCATGGCCCAGACAAGCTGACACATAAAATTAACTAGTGTTGTAATCCAGGGAGAGAAAATGGAGCCTGAGCAGGAACAGTGGTGGTAGAGGGAAGGAGCTGGATCAAGGAGTTCTTAGGAGCCCAGGTGGGCAGAACTTGATGCTCATCAGAGGTGGAAGTGAGGGAAAAAACTGGTGTTTCTGGTTGGGTGAGTGGTGACCACATGACTTAAGAACCAGAATACAGAGGAGCAATAGGTTGTGGGTGTCTTAGCCCCTGTTTCTCTGCTTTCCCCTTTTCTCATGCATTGCCATGGAGAAAATACTAGCCTGGCATTACCATTTCTGCTGGGGCTTTGCTAACCTCTCTGAAAATCCTTGCACATCCCCTTCATAGGTCCCTGCACATCCTTTCCTGAGAGGCCTCCCTTGCCTAAGAAAGGTCATGTCTCCTCATCTCTCCCACAAGATCTCCCAGGGGTATACCAGACATGACAGGGAGGGATGGGCTCCTTGCTCCCTGGGCTTATCATCCCAGTGTGTCAGGCAACTTGTCCTCCTCCGTTCTGGGCCACCTCCCTGTTCTACCAACTTCTACCTTCTAGGGGACAGAGTCACAAACTGCAGGGATAAGGCCCAGATTTCAAACCACAGATACCTTTTTATTTTTCCTGCCCTCTCTCTGTATCTATTTATTTAAACATTTGAAGGAGGGGCAGGTTCTCTGATTTGTCATGGTCCCTCAATACTTCAGGTTGTCTCTCCCTCGGCCTGCTTTGCTCATTTCCCTTCATGCCTGGCAGCCACAGACTTCTAATGTTTAAGCCCCACTGAAAGGGAAGATGTAGCGTGTCTGGTCCATTAAGGGACAACACCTTGGCCAACAGGGCTTCCTTCCCCATCACATGTTTTTCACCTTCACTCACTGCAAGACGGGAGTTGGGAGATAAATGAGCGGTTTCTTATAGAAGGTTTTCTGAAAGACCCATCTACCTACCCCTGAAAATAAGCCTACTGTTCATATTTTTGACTGAACCATATGAAACAACAAATGTTCAGTTGATTTTGCCCTACAGGGCTATTCAACCTGTGACCTGCAGGCCACATGTGGATTATTTGATGCCTGTTTTGCTTATCTGTGGTGTCAGGTATTGTGAAAATTATAGGTGACATTTCTCTCGCTCATCAGCTTTCGTTGGTGTTTGTGTATTTAATGTGTGCCCCAAGACAACGCCTCTTCCTATGTGTAGGAGGAAAAAAAAGTAAAAGAGAAAAGGTTGGCCACCCCTGCAAGAAAGATTGCACTATCACATGATTCAGCCTATTAATGTGGTCCTTGCTTAGCTGCTAGTAGGAGGGTAGTTCTTAGCCTTGGTTGCAAATTTAAATAAACTGGGAGCTTTTAAAAAATACCCTTGCTAGACTTTACCCCCATCATACTTAAATTCAAATGTTTGAGGATGGGACAGGTATTGAGATATATAAAAAGCTCCTGTGCATGGCTGGGCACCAGGGCTCACATCTGTAATTCTAGCACTCTGGGAGGATGAGGAGGGTAGATGGCTTGAGCTCAGGAGTTCAAGACCAGCTTGAGCAAGAGCGAGGTCTCTACTAAAAATAGAGGGAACCCCCCCCCCAAACTAGCCAGATGTCTACTGCATGACTCCCATGTCGCAGCTACTTGGGAGGCTGAGGCAAGAGGATCTCTTGAACCCAAGAGTTTGAGGTTGCTGTGAGCTATGGTGACACCATAGCACCAGGGCAACAGAGTGAGACTCTGTCTAAAAAAAGATCCTGTGCAGCCAGATTGAGAGTTACAGCTCTAGCACATCCCTGGGGCAGCTATAAGAGAGGCTTAGAGAGCCTTTTGCTGAATTCCTTACCACCCATGTATGGTGGCTTTCTGGGTACAGACACAAAGAAGTTTAGGGAACTGAAAACTTTGACATGGCCACAAGTACTTCTTGAAGTATTTAATGCAATTACTTCATGTATTAAAAGAGTTAATAAAACTTAAAGAGCTTCCCTCATACCAGAAAGAAAAGAAAGTAAATATCCACATGCATGTGGTACCATGCTAGGCACAGAACAATTTATTGCCTGGTGGGAATTAGCAACCTGGAATTTGTAATATTATCTCTGCCCAACCCATTGAGAAAGCCACAACAAACGGGAACACATCAAAGGCATGGCCCTGGACATTTACTGGAGCATATACCACAACAAAGTGGACATTGTGGAGTGGCTAAGTAAATGACAATAGCCATCCATGGCAGTTAAGGGAAACAGAGCTTTTAGAGCCATAACTATGCATTTCTGACTAACTCTAGATGTCCCATTCTTGCATTTTTCTTTTTGCTTTTAATGCGAAGATTTCAAAAACAAAACAAAATAGATAAATATATTTTCAGAATAAAAGAGAAGATACCCCGTATTAGTTTATAGGGTGGTAAAAATGTTCCAAAATTAGATTATGAGAATGGTTGCTCACCTCTGTGAATAGACTAAAAGGTATTGAACTGCACACCTTTAACGAGCCAGTTTTATAGTATCTAAGTTATATCTCAATAAAACTGCTCTTTTCAAAAATATTAC